CTATCTATCTATCTATCTATCTATCTATCTATCTATCTATCTATTATCTATCATCTATCTATCTATCTATCTATCTATCTATCTATCTATCTATCATGTATCTTTCTCTGTCTCGTATCTGTCTATCTTTATTTCAGCCTAGTCTGTAACCGTCAGGACAGTGAGAATTGCATTTTTGTTTTAATGTTGAATTACCACACACAGTGCTTGCTGTATTTAATGCATAGGAGAACATGGTTGAACTGCAGGGAGTAGCCGTTTGTTCTCGGGTGTGGTTGTCCAGTTGACCCTCTCTGTCTACCGAGGCTGTCTGCCCTACCTGTGGGCTGTACTGGGCCCAGTGGGGACTAGAAGAGTGTGAGAAGCAGCAGCATCTGCAACACGTGCTACGTGGACAGTAATGCAGGTGTGGGGCAGCGTCGACAGTCACTGGGTACATGTGTGCATGGGTCACCTTCACTGACCTCTCGCACGTTCATGCAGACTGTAGAAACCACGTGGCCAGTGGATTCTGGGCTCTGCTCCTTAAGTGAGACATTCTTTGTCCTTCATCAATATATTGACTTAACTAGTTACCTTCATTTTCCAGTCCAATGACAACCAGTTCCTCTGGGAACTTGTTGGTGGCCCTCCCAAGACCAGGAACATGACAGCGTGCTGGCAAGATGGTCGATTCTTTGCCGACAATGAGACCTGGGTGGTGGACAGCTGCACCACCTGCACCTGCAAGGTGAGGCTCAAGGTGTGATTTTGACCATATGCTGGGAAGCCATGAGAATGCTGTAGTCCTTCTGCAAACACATGCAACCACAGAGCATCTCGCACTGTACATGGCAGGGCCACACTAGGTGTGGAATGTTCTTGGAGGGGAGCCATGGAAGTGGGAGGGACCGTAAGGCGTAAAACTGAACACGGATTTGCACATGAAGAAGCTGCTATCCAGAGGGTGAAGTGACATGGCCAAAGTCACACAGGTGGCAAAAGTAGAGCAGGTACGGAACCCTGTGAAGTTCTGTGCCTGCATTTAAGTGCTGTCCAACAATGAGAATCATGAGAAACATTTGGAAAAATACAGACCTTAAACTCACTCCTACTAGTTGATTCCAACTCATTGTAATCCTACAGGACAGAGTAGAACTGGGATTTCTTCCGAAGGCTGAGCATCTTTCTAGGAACGGCCTGCCCCACTATTCTACTGAGGAGAGGCCAATGGGTTAAAACTCTTAGCTTTGAGGCTTGCAGCCAAGTGTTTTAACTGCTGTACCAGCAGCATTTCCTGGGGCAATGCAGGTCATTATTAAATATTTTAGAAAGGTTATGGAATCCCTTTTCTTTATGAGACTCCCATGAATGGTCCACTTCACATAACGTGACAGCAGTCTATGCATATGGCCTCTTCTATGGGCATCCCATCCATCATGACAGATGGAGAGGAGATTGAAACTGTCAACAGCATCATCTTGATTGGATCCACAGTTAAAACCCTTGATACTAGCAGTCAGCAAGTAAAGAGACACATTGCACTGGGAAAATCTGCAGTTAGGGACCTCTCCAAATTACTGAGGAGTAATGATGTCAGTTTGAGGAATAAGGTGCATCTGATTCAGGCCATGGTCTTTCCCATTACTTGCTATAAATCTGAGAGCTGGACAATGAATAGGAATGACAGAAGAAGAATTGATTCCTTTGAGCTTTGGTGTTAGGGAAGAGCACTGAACATCCCATGGACGGGCAAAAGAACAAACAGACATGTCCTGGAGAAGGTGCAGCCAGAGTGCTCTTTGGTGACAAGGGTGATGAAACTTTGCCTTACATATTTTGGGCGTGTTGCTAGGAGGGGCTATTTCTTGGAGAAGGACATGATGCTGGGAAGGGTGCAGGATTGACGAAGGAGAGGACCGTCCACCAGGTGGGTTGACACGCTGACTGCCACAATCGGCTCTAGTGTGTCAGGAAGTGTGAGGACGGCACAGGACAGGACGGGCTTCCAATCTGCTGTTCAGAGGGTCACTAGAGTCTTAGATGACTTGATGGCACCTAACAACAACCACAACATGAAAAGGGCAAGCCATGATCTTTTCACTTGACTTCCTGTGCATCTGAAAGTTGGACAGTGAATAAAGATGGCAGGAGAAGAATTGATGCCTTTGGATTGTGTTGGAGGAGCGTATTGAATAGGCCTTGGGCTGCCAAAAGAACAAGCAGGTCTGGCTCAAGGAAGAGCAGCCAGGGGCACTTAGAGGCAAGGATGGTGGACCTTGGTCTCATACTTTGGGTGCGATACCAGAAGGAACTAGTCCTGGGAAAAAGACACCTTTCTGGAAAAGAAGGAGGGTCTGAGAAAGACAGGAAGGCCCTTGACAAGATGGCCTGAATAACAGGCTCAAACAAATCAGATATTGTGAGCATGGTACAGGCTAGGGCAGGGTTCAGATCTGTGGTTCCGAAGGTCGCTATGAATTGTGGACTTGATGGGACCCAATAAGAACCTGGACAGTGTCCTGAGTGTTTTGCAGCCTCTGAAGGGCCTGCTGTATGTTGGTTCCAATTTTTTTGAAATGAGTTTGAGGGGTGTTTTTAAATGCACACTCAAAATGAGCAGTCATCAGCAAATGTCCACAAATAACCGTCAGTAGGTGAAACGTACAGATTATGAATCCAGGAAATTGAAAGTTGTGGAGAGGCCAGTCCTGGAGAAGGACCTCACGCTTGGGGAAGTAGAGGGTTAGGGAAAGCTAGAGATGGGTGGCTCTAATTGCAACAATGGTTCAAACACAGCAGAGACTGAGGACGGTGGGGCCAGCTGGGTTTCTTCCTACTTTGCAGAGGTGTTATGACATGAAGGCAGGTGTGCAGCACCTGACGACAGCATGCTGATCCGAGGGTGTGCGTCCCTGAGTCCACCTGGCTTCCAGGTGGGAGAGAGGCAGCAGTGGTGCTCAGGGCCACCTTGGCTACCCCTGTGTCATGCTCTGAACACTGGGGAGAGGGAGGGTGGCAGTTCCAGGCTGGATGTGCCGTGTGAGATCTGGGGGTGAGAGATGTGATGGGCCGTCGGCCCTTCTCCCACCGGTCTTCCACGTTGCTGGATACTATTTTTAATGAGTGCTTTCTCAATACCTCTGTTTTCTTGTAGAAATTTAAGACCGTTTGCCATCAGATCACATGCCCGCCAGTGACGTGCGCAAACCCCACCTTCGTGGAGGGCGGGTGCTGTCCTTCCTGCTCCCACTGTGAGTGTCGCCTGGACACGGGCGCTGCTTGCCTGGCCTTGCTGTGTCTTTAACTTGGGTGTCTTTGTAGCAGAGGTGAAAAGCTTTGGCCCACACATCCACACAGATGAGACACAGAAGAGGTGTGGGGTCTGAGAGCCCGTGTCCCCCTATTACTGACAAGAGGATGACGCGTGTGTGAGCCGAGGAGACTCATTGATGTCCATCCACGCTACTGTCTAGATGAGCCACTGTGCACCAGGCTGACAACCTGCCCAAGATCTTGACGCCACTGCATTGCCCCCCGGGCACACTGACTCATAGCTGGCCTTCCACGGGGTAATTGCCTGGGAGGAGACTGCCCGTCTGCCATGCAGTCTGTGCTGGGTTGGAAGCACCTGCGAGGTTCAGCCCTGAATTTAGCAGTCAAACCCCCTACAGATGTGCCACTGGCACCCCCTCTTGTGCCCATTCCCACCACCTCTGGCTGTCACCTGTCCATTGGGTCTCATGATGACCCCCACCCATTTCCAAGGCTGTAAGTCTTCGCAGGAGGAAACTGCTCATTTTTGTTTCGAGAAGCAGCTGGTGGATCTGTCTGGACTGTGGACCCCTCAGTTGTCAGGCTGACACAGTCCACCCTGCCCCACACCACCACGGGGCCTCAGAGAACAGCCTAACTGACCTTTCCCCGACCCCACCCCCCAACAGCTCCTCACAGAGCACATGCAGTGCATGGAAAGCATTAGGAGGAGAGAGAGCCTTGGTGATGTGTAAGAGAAGCTGTCTGCAGGGCATCACTTTTCTCTGTGCTCTGGGGACTTTAACTCCCTGTCAACAGCTGTTTCATTATTATCAACTTTCCGTACAACCTGTGCATCAGAGAGGTGGACAGTGAACAGGGAGGGCAGAAGAATCGATGCCTTCGAGTTGTGGTGCTGAAGAAGAGTCTTGAACATACCATGGACCGCCAAGAAAACAGATAGGTCTGTCTTGGAGAAGGTGAAACCAAGTTTCTCCTTGGAGGCTAGGATTTTGAAGCTCCATCTCACATACTTTGGGCATGTGGCCAGAGGGTCAGATCCTTGGAGAAGGACATCATGCTTGGCAGGGTGGAGGAACAGCTCAGGAGAGGAAGACCCTGGATAAGATGGATTGACACAGTAACTAGGACAATGGGGGTAGGTGTCTTGGGGTCAGTGTGCCTGGCTCAGGACAGGGCGGGATTCAGAGCTGCTGTACACAGGGTCACTATGAGTCACAGGTGACATGACGGCACGTAACAACAACATCCCCACTCATCAGACTTAGAACTGAGCTTTGGTGTCCCCAATCCTGACCAAGGTCATGGGGCTTATTAATATGTAAATCAGCAAGAAAGAGGAAAAGAGAAATAAATGACATCTTGGTAACTTTAGCAAAACCTCATGTAAACATGCACTCCTTTGTAAGATATATTCCAAAACTCTGTTTCACAATTTCCGGACATGGATGGACTAGACTGGCTCAATCTTCAGACCACAGACTCACCTATCCTGGCCCAGAGACTCCCCTCAGCCAACTGTCTTCCCTGCTTCATACTGGGGAGACAGCTGTTGACCCCTGAAGACGATGGCTGTGTAGTGACCCTGAGCTTTAGCACCTGGACCCTGCGCTTGCCGGGAGAGACCCTGCCCCCAGAAGCTGCCTATCTGGATGCCTGTGTGGTCTGGCTTGAATCTCATGAGCCACTGTGTTTTGTTTGGTGACCTTGACCATGATTGTAGACATTTGACCTGAGTCCTTTGTGCTTCTTCTGACCGCAGCCAATGACAGTGACGAGGACTGGTCTCCTTGGGCAGAGTGGACTGAGTGTTCCGTCACCTGTGGTTCAGGGACCCAGCAGAGAGGACGGTCGTGTGACGTCACCAGCAACACCTGCCAGGGCCCCTCCATCCAGACCAGGCTGTGTAGCCTGGGCAAGTGTGACAACCGCAGTGAGTGTCCAGTGTCCACATGGGTCACTGATGGGATGGCATTATTGAGAGCTCCTTGTCAGTGACACAAATGCAGTTCTGGGGCCCCGCAGAGTCCCTGAGGTGACCACACTGTTGAGGAGCACCACACTGGGACCGCAGTGATGTGGAATCAGCACCCTGAGGTGACCACAGTGATGGGAGCACTGCCCTGGTCACCGAGGTGACTGTAGTGATGGGGGTACCGCTCTGGTTACTGAGGTGACCACTGTCAGGGGACACTTCTGGTGACTGTCCAGAGCCCTCCCGGCTGCCCTGGCTCCCTTCCCTTTGCCTGTGGAGTGAGTGAACCGTGTGTCGATCCACCAGCTGTGAAGGCAGGGCTGTCCTCAGTGTCTGTTGTTGGCAGCACGTGGCCACTCCATGCCCTGGAGGGACTCTCATGGGGGAGGCCCAGCTCCCTGACTTGAGGCCAGAAAGCCCGCATCCTCTCCTCCCTTGAGGTTGGCTGTCTGGCTGTGAGAGGCAGATATCTGGCCTGGGCTGGGCCCAGCTTCTCTACACTGACCTCTGTTTTCATGTCCCCTATGCAGTCCGGCAGGATGGCGGCTGGAGCCACTGGTCCCCCTGGTCGTCCTGCTCCAGCACCTGTGGGGTCGGCAACATCACCCGCATTCGCCTCTGCAACTCCCCAGTCCCTCAGATGGGCGGCCGGAGCTGCAAGGGGAGTGGCCGTGAGACCAAGGTCTGCCAGGGCCAGCCCTGTCCCAGTAAGTGTGTTTCCAGGGCCGGTGGCCCAGGAACGTGTCTATGAACAGCAGGGCTGCACAGGATGCTGGGACACCAGGGTGGTCAGAGGGCCCAGGGTCCATGACGACAGCTCTCTGCGGTTCTGTGGTGGGGTGCTGGATGCACTTGGGTTCCCCCTGGTGATATGGGACAGAGCCTTCAGGCTAGATACCCTGCCTTGGCTCAGGAGACCTGACAGGACAACTCTGAGTCATCCACGTTTCAAGGCCTCTGTTCTTTGGCCGAAGGACAGACAGGCCAGGGCTCAGACACAGTAAGCAGGTGGCCTTGGACTGCTTGATGGTAGAAGGCACAGGGCAAAGCTTCAGCCTCGGGTGTTCAGAAAAACACAGAATCTGAAACTCATGGAGCTGTCCTTCAAGGCAATGGAGTGACGAGCGGGAGAGGAGGGCAGAGCGTGTCTCCCATCTCTGCCCTGCTCGTTCCTATAAAACATCAGTGATGACTGTGCCCGGCCCCACAGAGACCTCAGCCTGACTGTCACTGTGCTCCCCCCACCCCGCTGCCCCACAGTTGATGGCCGGTGGAGCCCCTGGTCACCGTGGTCGGCCTGCACGGTCACGTGTGCTGGCGGGATCCGGGAACGCACGCGAGTCTGCAACAGCCCAGAGCCCCAGCACGGGGGGCAGCCCTGCGCCGGCCGTGCCCAGGAGCAGCATATGTGCAACCGGAGGAGCTGCCCTGTCGGTAGGTGGAGGGCACTCTGAGTGGACAGTGCCAGGGCCACAGGCTCACAGCAGACAGCTTGAACGGAGCTGAGTGGATGAGTGTCAGAGCACACAGACATCAATGTGGACAGGCATCCAGGTGGACAGGTATCCAGTGGACAGGCATCCAGGTGGACAGGCATCCAGGTGGACAGGCATCCAGGTAGACAGACATCAGGATGGACAGGCATCAGGGCAGCTATGTACCAGGGTAGACAAGCATCAGAGTGGACAGGCACCCATGTGAAGAGGCATCCAGGTGGACAGGTGTTAGAGTAGGCATCAAAGTAGACAGGTGTCAGAGTAGATAGGCATCAGGGTGGACAGGTTTCAGGGCAGACAGGCATCAGGGTGGACAGGCATCCGGGTGATCAGACATCAGAGTGGGCAGACACCAAGGTAGACAGGTATCAGAGTGGACCAGTGTCAGGGTGGACTACACGGGGCGATGAGCATAGAGGTGGTTATCAGGCACTGGACGTGTTTTTATGTCCGAGTGATATAGAAGCTGGGATGTGACATTGAAATTCATGGCACATTTGCCACTTGACCACATGTCCTTGGTGACCAGTGGTGGCCTGGTGGTGTCCCCTGAGGTCCTTCATGTCAGTGGTTCCATCCCTGCACCCAGTCACGGGCAGTGAAGGGCAGCGCTTCTCCAAGCCTTGAAGTGTCACTTGGGCTGGGTCAGGACAGAGTGCAGGACTACTCACTGAGCCCCTGTCTTTCTGTACAGATGGGTGTCTGTCCAACCCCTGCTTCCCTGGGGCTGCCTGCAACAGCTTCCCTGATGGTTCCTGGTCCTGTGGGTCTTGTCCGACTGGCTTCCTGGGCAACGGTACCCACTGTGAGGACTTGGATGAGGTGGGTGTCACTCCTGTCAAAGGGGTGGGGGCCTTGTGTGGGGCTGGAGGCCCACTAACCACCTGTGCTGTCCTTGCAGTGTGCTGTGGTCACCGATGTCTGCTTCACGGCCAACAAGGTCCACCGCTGTGTCAACACCAACCCTGGTTTCCACTGCCTGCCCTGCCCCCCACGCTATAAGGGGAGCCAGCCTTTTGGGGCCGGCCTGGAGGTGGCTAGGACCGAGAAGCAGGCAAGTGTATGGTTTCTCCTTCTCCTTCTGTCCTCTCCCCTTGGCAGGGTAAGCTGGGGGATAGAAAAGGCCAGTGTGGGGAGGAAGACCAAGGAGCCTGGTCAGCACTGGACAATGGATAGATATACTGAGCATCCAAGGCAGCAAAGGCCACTGTGTCCTGGTGACCTGGTCAGCGTAGGAACCTGCCAGAGGCGTACTGTGAGGAGCCCAGTGGGTCTGATCTCTTGCAGCCTCACCTGGACTATGTCCCAGGGGCCATCTGCAAGTATGGAGGGCAGCTTCTGCTGCCTCACCTGGACTATGTCCCAGGGGCCATCCGCAGGTGTGGAGGGCACCCCCTGCTGCCTCACCTGACAGTGTCCCAGGGCCATCTGCAAGTACAGAGTGACTAAGGAGCTTGGTTATGGAGTCTGCACGCAGCCCTGTTCAGGGAAACAAGTTCAGGTTTCTTGTTGCCTGCCTCCTGACTCGCATAGCCCCTGAGGACAGGACCCAGGAAACATGCATGTTTGCCCTGGGAACCCCTGTCCTAAACCCTTTCGCCTACATACCTACAGGTGTGTGAACCTGAGAACCCCTGCAAAGACCAGACCCACCGTTGCCATAGCAATGCCGAGTGCATCTACCTGGGTCACTTCAGTGACCCCATGTACAAATGCGAGTGTCAGACGGGATATGCTGGGGATGGCCTCATCTGCGGGGAGGACTCAGACCTGGACGGCTGGCCCAACAAGAACTTGGTCTGTGCCACCAACGCCACCTACCACTGCATCAAGGTAGGCGGCGGGCGGGCAGGGTGGGCCCTGCGCCCAGTGGTGGCACCTCCTCTCACCCCTCACTGTCGCCCTCCACTTGACTGCATGTCACAGATACGGCATTTTTCCTTGCAGGTGGAAGATTTGTGGTAACTTGGCTTTAAGCAAGCCTGTTGGTGACATTTTCCCAACAGCATATGCTCATCTTGTGCCTCTGAGCTCTGATTCTGTCATTCCCACCGTATTTGGTATTTCCGTAATGCTAGTGCACACCTGATACACCACCAGGCCAAACCCAGCCCACCTCCGCCGGCTGGATTCTGATGTGTGGCAACACTTGGGAAGGTTTTCAGGCCGTACTTTATGAGACAGGATTCCCCATCTTTCTTCCTGGCAGCACCTGGTAGATTTGAACTGCAGACCTTTGGCTACCAGTCTGACAGATTACACACCAAGCTACAGGGCTCGTGTGACAGATAGGAGCATGATGTGAGCCTGACTTTGGTAGGAAACATGCTTTACTGCAGTGCTGTGGAACCAGGCCTGCTATGCCTCCAAGGATTGCCTTCTTGGTGCTGCTGTAACAACCTAGACCAGACTTGGTGGCCTGAGATGAAATGAGCTTTCTGTCTCACAGTTCTAAAGGTCAGAAGCCAACATCACCAGGTCTCACAGGGCCATGCTCCTTCTAGAGGCTGAAGGAGAACGTCCTCACGTCTCCAGCGTCTGGTGGCCACTGGTGTGTCCTGGGGACCATGCTTACTTGTAGTTGTACCACTTCATGCTCTATCGCTGTAGTCAAACCAGCTCCCTCTGTCTGTTCTCGTGAGGACACATGTGGTTGTGTTAAAAGTCCACCTTTCTGCACAGGACAGCCTCCTCCCTGTGGGAGCCTTAACTGAGCCGTTCCCGTGCAGCGACAGGCGCTGTGCAGGTTCATTAGCTCAGAGTACAGGCACAGGTGTCGGGGGTCACATCCAGGCTGTCCCACAAAGCTATTGTGCAGATTTATGCTTCACTAACTCCAAAACATAATTTTAAGTTATTCGTTTGCTCTTTGCTAATGTGTGTGATTTTTGTGTGATGAAACTTACATCCTTAGTGTTCTTGCTGATTTTCTCTCTTCAAGTCAAAGCCAGCTCGTAGCTAACCTTCCAGTGGGTTTTCAGAGACAGTGAATCACACACGAGGAGCCTGTCCATCTTTTTTATTAAGTAAAGTAAAAAGTAGTTAATATCGTCTCCTTTAAACTACATGCATCAGATGAAGCAGGCTTTGAGACAGGTGAGGAGGGCAGCCATCCATCCCACATCGTCTCCTGAAACGCCACCCAGCTGGTCTTCTTTACTGTCCCCTCAGCAGGGGCCCTTGGGAGTGGGTGCTTGCAGAGCAGTAATTGATGCTAGTATCTGTTAGGGGTCAGCACTACAGCCCTCACACGACAGGAGTGGGAGGGGTCCAGGAGGCCAAGTCCCTGCTGTTCTGACAGTGTCCCAGGCAGAATCTTAACTTCAAAGATGGCTCATGATCATTCACACTTCTGCACAAAACTGAACCAGCTGTCATGCCGGCTGCACCACACAACAGCTCCTTATATGTCAGAGTAAACTGCCCTCCACGGGGTTTACAGATGGCTGCTCTTTCAGACGTCTTTCCTTCTAAGGCTCTTCTGGGTAGACTCAAGTCTCAATATGCGCTGAAGGCTATGATGTGAGCTGAGAGAGCTGAAGTAGGAACTCTGAGGACTGAGGTGTGAACTGTGAGGCTGTGGGGTGGACTGTGAGGGCCGAGGTGTGAGCTGTGGGGCTGTGGG